TATATACATTGATCTAGTATTTTCAAGATCATCTTCCAGACCATTCCATAATCCTGTACCTTGGATTAAAGTAGGGGCAGATATAAGATTTTTTTTCTTCTTTCTGCTACCTTTTAATTTTTATTTGAAATGTCTTTTTTTTGTATGTGAATTTCTTTGTTTTCAAACTAAATGACTAAATATTGTATAAAAAAACACGTTTTTTTGCACAATAACCCTTTATTTTCTAATTTGGGCTTCCTTCCTCGTTTGTAACAGATGATGTCAGTTGAAGATGTGGAAAAACTCCTGGATGAAACCCAAGAAGCCGTTGAATATCAGAGGGTAACATTAGTCTAACTGTGCAGAATATGCTTTTATCCTAACCTACTAAACGTTTTCCACAATTTAGCAATGTTACCTGGTGACAAACTGTTTATTAAACAAGGCTTCACATTTTGTTTCTTCGCAGCAAATCGATGAATTGCTGGCCGGAGCTCTGACGCCGGAGGACGAGGATGCTGTTTTAGCCGAGCTGGAAGCTATCACTCAGGTGAAGCTGAATGTTTAAATTTGATTCATCCTGAGAATGGTTTTTAGAGCGCGCACTCTCCTCGCTGCCTGTTTTTAGCTGCGTCTCCAGCTGTCGACGGCAGCTGATTCACAGCTGAGTCATCCAAGGATGTTGTACCAAAACACACATTTGCTGTTTTGACCTCATTGTAATTTGCACAATGTTTAATCTTTGACTCTTGAAGAAGGAGAATAATGAATCAACGTCGGAAGGATTTGAAATAAATCACAGTGCCGTTGTGATCTGATAATGAGCTGTAATTGAAAAAAAAAAAAAAGTTGTGAATGTTATGAATTTGGTTGATTCATAGTGATTAAAAGATTGCTGGATTGTTCTCCTAATGTGATGGAATAATCATCTTAAATGATGCTCAAACTTCATCAGTTATTACGTTTCACGCTTGAACACAGACMTTTTCAAAGCCTGGATTTGCCCAATTTCTCCCAAATGAAATTCAGACTTTAATTTATTTGAACTAATTATATCTGAGGAGAAAAGTGGAACAATTACCTTATCAGCAATTTATTAGTAGTTTTATATAGAGGCCATTAAACAAAAAAGAAAATCATATTTTGGTGCAGGTTTTYAGTCCATATTGTCTCTTGGTTTTATTTCTAAATGACAACAGATGTTCAAACTGTCTAATTTTGCACAATCATGAACTACAGAACATGTTTTAACACTGGAAGCTATATTTTTCTTTAAAAATATATGTTTTACAAACAGGGAGAAGATGTAGCACTTCCAGATGTCCCCAGACAGCCAATACCAGAGATCCCAGAAGCAGCTAAAGTTGAACCAGGTACAACTTAATTCACACACGTTTGATTATAATAAAGTTTTTAATATTTTTTGTCTGTCTGTTCTGATTGTTTTTGATGATTCGTTTTTCAGAGAGGAGAGAAGTCGAGAACAAACCAGACAGAGAGATGCTCGCAGTCTGACAGAATTTGTGGTTGAGATGAAGAAGCTACAGATACTTCTGCTTTTAGTTTTGGGTTAGCATTGACAAATGCTTTGTTTGCTGTGTATTTTAAATGTTTAAAACTTTAATTTATTGTTTTTTACAAATTAAACTAAGCTGTGAGAAAATGTGCGGTCTTGACTTCTCTTACATAACGGGATTTTTAAATTTGTAAAGGAATGTTCTTTATAACCAAAATGTGTTGCGTGCGTTTCACCACAAGATGGCACTGTTTGATTTTATTAGCACTGCATCACACAAAACAAGTTTTTATTATTGCATCAGTGCAGTGAGTGGAGTTATGTTAAAAAAGATGGCTTGTATTTTCTGACGTGTGGGAGATGTTTAGAAAAACATAACCAATGTGGTGTTTAGTAGGCATTTAGACACCTACTAGCTTAAGCACACTAAGCACAAATTATCCCATGTGTTTCAGAGAACAGCCACTGTCTCCTGAAATGCTACTTTATGCATAAAATATGGCTTTGCAAATGGAAAAGTGACTTAATGATAGAGTGCACATACATACAGTATATTTTTTTCAGAGTTGTTATCCTGACAGCAGCTAAAGAGCACTAAATGAAATGAGAAATACTGTGTGAGAACATTACACCTGACATTTATTATTCCCGCTCTTGTTATTTAGTACAGTGCGCCGGTCGTTTGGGGAGAATATAAATGTGTAGATACACTTGTGTATATGCAGACACTCTCAGAGAGGCTCCACTTGTAGGGGAWGTTGTGGGGGCGGGAACCAAACCCACACTTTTTTGACAAGATAACGCTGCATTCACGTGCTGTAGGAAAGACGTTCTGTTCTATGCTAAAATCCTACTTTTGTATCCGTACTGCTCTCCCGTTTTTATATAACGTTTATTAAAGAATTACTCTCTCACTATTTGTCTTTAAATACGCGTTATTTGAAAATAAAACCTTAAACTGTGCAACATTTGAATGTTATTTACTATATTCTGTGATTGGCTGCGGTGTTCCCCAAAAAACCTGCGCTCCGGAGTGGTCCGTGAAGGCATCAGCGGACTGTCAGTAGCGCGCAGAGGGAAAGGTGTGTTTAGTTAAAGCAAGGAGCAGCTCATTCTTGCGGTCGTGTTCCCCGCTCATCGTTTGAACAAACTTGCTCCTTTTTCTTAAACATTGCTTTATTTTATTGTCTTTTTTTTTTTACTTGGATAAACGTTTGAACGACAAAAGCCGTTTATGGTCCTGGCTGAAGATTTCACCATGTCTCGCACCGACGAGGTTAACCGCATGACGGAAAATGTTTATAAGGTAAGTGGTCCAATTAATAAAGTTTTCAAACGGGGTCAATTAAAGCGGTCGCACACAACGTGGTTTCAAGATGAGGTCGGGATTGTATCTGTTAAACAAGTGCACAGAAATGATTTTAAATCAGTGTAATCTCCAGAGAATTGCATTGTTTTTGAACATTTGCCAAATAATGAGAATCAGCCCTCCATGTTTTACTCATTACTCTGCGACACCATTGCTGTGTTCTATGGTTCAATTAAGGCCAACACCTTTCAGCCCAAACCTTAAAAAAAATAAATAAATAAAATCAGTGTCCTGTTTTATTTAGGCCTTGAGTTAGTCCGCCTCCGGTGATGGCAGTTCGATCAATTCCCAGGATCCTAGCAGGTATTTACAGGCTGSTTTTAAGGAAAAAGAAACACTGCATTCCAGAAGAGTATTTGGCACACAGGGCTGAGTCGCTTTGTCGCAATAAGTAAATATTTGTTCCAAACCTGTTCTTCAGGAGAGAGAGAGAAAAAAAAACCTGGGGATTTTGCATGCAATCATTGCCTCACCTAAAATAATAATAAAAATAAAGTAATTTTTGACTTAATTTTGGTGTGTTTTTACATTAAATTCCAACAGATAAATAAAAAATAATAATTTAGGATTTCAGGTTAAACTAAATGGATCAGATCATCAAGCAGCCTCTTGTTGCAGCCTACTAATTGCTGCATATTTCCTTTAAAACTTGCCTTGGGTCTTGTTTCACTGTCTTAAGTCATTTGGGTGGGTGGGACGTGCACTCTTGAGGCCCTGCAGCGCAAAGTTTATGTAGCTAATTGTGATTTTGYCATCATGCACTGTTAAGAATTTTGTTTCTATATATACGTATATCTGTATATATGTCTGTGTGTATGTATTGACAATATTTATGAATGTAAG